TGGGATGGGAGTGTCAGAGACAGTGCGATTGGCACAGGACAGAGCGGAGTTTAGGGCTGTTGTACATAGGGTCGCTATGAATCGCAGGTGACTCAACGGCACATAACAACAACAAGTAACAGCAACCTTAGAGAAGGAAGTGCAACTAGGATGCTTCTTGGAGGCAAAGACATGAAACCTCATCTCACATATATTGAGCATCTTGAAAAAAGACATTATTCTTGGAAAGATAGGGAGGCTGCAAAAAGAGAAATACACTGAATAAAGTATATTGATGCAGTGAATGTAAAAGTGGTTCAAACATGTCAGAGATCAGGAGGATGGTACAAGAAATAGCAAGCTACTTGTTCTTAGGATTGTTATAAGCTATTGATTTTATGACATTTAACAACAACAGCAAGAAACTGATATCTATTCCTTACCCCTCCTACTTTCCTGCTAACAGAACCTTAACTTTACAAAGCTGCAGTTAAAAATCTCTCAATTTTAGAGAATATATTCTTTACTTTATTTTCAGAGAATTGATCATGATTGATTTAAACTAGTACATTTGAACTATGTTCTCACCCTGGAGGCCTCTAGTGACTGTGTTGTTCTGTTAAGCAAAAGACTTGGCCTCTCTAGCTTTCAATTTACTAGAGGCTAGGAGAGAGAAAGATAGGTATTCATCCCTAGTAAAGATTTATCACCTCAGAAATCCAATAGTGTGTTGTTATGAGTTGAAATAGACTCTGTGGAAGTGAGTTTGAGAGTTCTGAAGATGTTTTGACTGTTAGAATTGTGTGTTATGTTTGTGAGTGTGCGTATGTGTGCACAATTAGCATCTTGGGGCCAGAAATCTGCTAAATACAGTGCACTGGGTAATAACTATAAGAAAGAATTTTCTGGCCCATAATGTCAGGCGTTTTGAAAAAACAAACCTAATCCACTGTAGTTGAGTCTGTTTTGCTCTCGATTTATGTTTACATTTTATTGGATTTCTTTGTCTGCCTCACTATCTCTCATGGAACAGTTTATGGGTTTGAACTCCCAGGGTTTTGTTTATGCAGCCTAACTTGTAAAATAAATGCTATTTAAATCAATCTTATTTTCCCTCAGAAAATGATGTTAGCTTTTTTTCTTTAGTTTGTGATTGGCTTTGTTAGCCATATAGCCTCAGTTCTTTATAAAGTGAGACTTCATGGCAAGTTGTTCTTCGGTTTTTTTGTTTTGTTTTTTTTTCCCTATTCTGACAAAGATGGTCAAATTCAGCTGACATGAGATGCTGTCATTTCCCCTGCTCCTGTTATTTCACTTTTAATGTGGATATGGTGCTGAGCTAGGAGATGCTTCTGCCATTTTGGGACTATGGTGTAATAATTTTTTTTTTTTACTGGTTTGCTTACAAAGTTTGTATACATTGTGTTTCATATAATCAATGTCATGCATTGTTTTATAAAATTAATGACCATTAGATTTTGCCCATAATTACCCTGTCTTTTTACCTAGATCCTTCTGATTTCCTTCCCCCCTTTCTCCACTTACCAAACTGTCCAACTCTGTGGTTTTACTGCTACTCAACCTCCTCCCTCTCCCCTTGAGTTCCCATACATGTTTTACTTATTATCCTTTTGCTTTTACAATAGTGGTCTCACGCAGCATTTGTCCTTACAATTTTTGAGAGGAAACTCATGAATTCCATATACCATTTGGCCTTATACACCTCTTCAGTTGTTCAATCTCACCTTTCCCAAAGGATGTTGATAACTACATGGTGCGTCTCTCTTCAACCCCTAAGAACTATATCCCCCATGGATCTGGCCTTCAGTGGAGTCCACCATCATCCAATGCCCTCTCACTTCACCAAACATACTAGGCAGTGGAGGAAGAATGTCACAGCTACCCTAGGCTTGGCTCCCAAGCCTGGCTATTCTTTGAAAAAAACCCAATAATTTACATGTCCTGATAAGTCGACTAGATGATCAGATCTTGATAAGGACTGTCCTGATCACACATTGACAGGATCCCTGCCCCAAATTCCAGAGCAAACGAACACCCTCTGTGAGTGTCCCTGAAAGCCACTATAAAAAGAAAACTGTCTTATCTGCCTGCAGAGCAATGTTCCTCTGTGTAAGTGATCCCCTGCTGTTCCTTTCAGACCATACAATCAAGGCTTGTTTCCTACTTGGGACAAGCTTCTTTCTTTGTTTTTCTTGCTTTTCACTCTTTTCCCCCTAACATATGATTCCCTAACCAGGGAAAATGCCCAGTCATAGGCCAAACCCTCCTCTCCACTTCTCCACAACTTGCCAACCTGGAAAGCAAGTCTACCTATCAAGTGGTACCACCCTCTCTGTCTTAATCTTTCTCCCCTCCCAACTTTCCTTCTGGTTCCAAGGGTCAAAGGCCATTTGCTATTTAAATCCAACAACACCTAACATTGACCTTAATTCTCAACCACCTAAGGCTATCTCTCCAATTGAGGTTAAGAGTCCAAGGTCACTCCCAGAGGTGCCTAGGGACTAACCACCCCTCTTTCTCTGTAATCCCTCTCCCTCCTCTCAGGTCCCAGGAGCCCCATCCAGACACTCCAGGAAAGGATGCCATGGCTCATGTGACTGAGATATTGGCAGACATCCAGTCTCACATGGATAAGTTGATGACTCAGATGGCTCAAGTCAAGGAACAACTTGATTCCTCTAATGAATCAGCTGAGTCAAAGGCTAAGGTAAAGGATTTGCCCACAATAATGCGTAGCAAAAGAAATGGAAAGAAACTGACTGTCTGCCAGATTTGTTTGCTTTGGAAAAACGTTCTCATTATCCCTGTAAACAAATGGAAAGCTTATATAGTATGTAATTGTGTCTTTTTATTTATTCTTAAAGTTATTCTTTTTGTCAAAATTGTCAAATGATTCTTCTAGGGTTATTTCAAATGATGAATCCTAGGAGAATCACATCTCCTTTTGCCCTATGCTGGTGTGATCGTCTGCACTATATATGAAAAGGAATACTGGTAACCCAAGAGAGGACTGTGTTATGAAGTAAGGCCCAGCATGATCATCTGCTAAATCAGTGACCCAAGAGGGTGTTTTATTGTTCTAATCCAGAGAAAAAAAAGCAGCATACTTTCCTGATTACAAAGCTGAGTGTTGGTTAAAGCAGAAGGTGGAGGTGTGAATGAGCAGTGACCTAGGCAGAGGAAAGTGTTGGTCCTTCAGAGCTGGCTTTAAGCTGGCAGTCCAGTCCAGGCTAATATATTCTTCATGTCGTTGGCCTGGAGGTTCAGAGACCAGGAATTTTGCCACAGATGGCAAACCCCATAAAGGACGAAAGTTGGATTCCAAAACAGGAATTGGGGTCAGTTGCTATTTCCATACCTTTAATGAAAAAAAAAATAATTTTCAAAGAAGAGTCCTTATCTTCCTTTAGATCCCAAAGTAGAACAAATGCACTATAATTGTTTTTCATGAGATATAGTACTTAAATTTTACTTTTGTTCGATGTGGTAATTTTGCTATTAGCAAAAGACTCAGGAGTGAAAATGAAGATCCTTATTGATCATGCACTATTTAGCTTCACACTTCTATTTCTGATCCTTAATGATCATCTCTGGTGTCTCCCTGTTTTCCAGTTGTATCCTTCTTTTTAAAGAGTGGGATAATCTATAATGCCATGTAGGTGACTGCAAAGGTCTCATGGGAAGAAGTTATCTGGACCAGAAGCAGAACTTGAAGTCTTGTGCTCTTTCCCAAGAGTGGTTTATATTAAAAGTCTTCCCTTTAAACTTCTAAGCATCTTGAAAAAGAGAAATTGTGATAACCCCAAAGCAATGAAATTCTAGTGGTCATGTGCCTGGCACTGTGCTCCTTGGGCAGGAGTTAATGAATCTTTGGGTCAAGGGAAGACATTCACTAATAAGCCCCATTACCTACTAGACCTCTGGTTAGTTCAATTCTTACTCACAGTGATGTTAGGAGAACATAGCTAGCACTGAAGAGAAATACAGTATAGGTCACATTATTTCTACACTCAGTAGCAAGGGAAAAAACCAAAACTGGGAACTGTCGTTCAAATTTGGAATGACCTAGAAAGAATATTGTGTCTTTTTAATTCATCCAGAGATTTGGGTTTCTAGTGAGGTTGTTAACACACCTTCTTTTTGTTGTTTGGCAAAGTAGGTGGGGACTGCTCTGCACATGTCCTTGATGAGTGCTCCATACTGGACTAAGTTCTTGATCCGAATGGGCAAAACAGTGTAGATCAAGCCATGGTTGGATGGATATTGCTCTAAATCCTGGAAGAGGTAGAACATTAAAACTGTGAGAAAGAATGTGTAGATAGATGTGGTACAGCAAGGAGTGAGGACACAATATTCCAGGGGACTTGGCTGTGATAAATTAAATTTTATCTCCCACCCCAATTATGTGTTAGAATCATAATTTCTGTACCTTTGGATGTAATATAAACTATTATAATATAATTACATTTCATAATAGTCTAATCCTATGTAATCAATCAGTGGATGTTACACCAAATAATTATTTCTAAGTTGGTATATTCCAAACTTCATTACTTCTGAGTTACAAAAATATGAGGACCACTTGATGATGATGATATATGAATCTATAATATCTAGAAATCTAAGATTTTCTGACTATTAGAAGCTGAAATAGACAAAGGAAGGGCTCTTGCTAGAGTTGCACCCTGAATTAAGACAGCATAAGACCAACATTGTAAAAGTAGAAGGATAACTAATAAAACATGTATAGGAATCCCACGAGGGAAGGGGTGGGAGCAGAGGGGTGACATAGGGTGGGGGCGAACCACAGAGTTGTATAATTAGGAGGGTGGTGAGAGGGGGTGAAGGAAATTAGAAGGATCTGGTGGGGACTTGAAAATACAGAGTAATGTTGGGCATAGTCCAATGGTGACTGATTTGATAAAACAATGCATAGGAATGGTTATATGAAACACAATGTGAAAGAAGAATATTGTGAAACATATGTACACGAACATTATAAGCAAACCGAAATAAAAAAAAAATTTTAAAACATTATAAAAAGAAAATTATCTCTCACTCCTGAAAAAGAAATTCCCGTTCATTAAATCCAGTCTCATATGATGTTTCTTTTAAGTTAGGTAACTAAGCTGTTATCAGACAAGCAAATTGCCATAGTATAGAAACTTCAGCTTCTTAAAATAGCTGTGGACCTGTTTGTTCTTGAGTTTGGTCCTTAACAGCAGTATCCTATCTGGCCACAAGATGACGACACAGCTCCAGAGAAATCTGTATGCATTTCTGACTTTTCTTTATTCTGATGTCCCTGTGTCCCAAGTAGTTTTAATCCATCTGCAACACTGCAGCAGAAAAATAGTCTTCTTTTGTTTAGATTTATAGCCTCAGAAACCTGATGGAGGGCTGCTGGGAGCTGAACATGACTCCATGGAAGTAAGTTTATATCCCTATCAGCCACCTTTCCTAATTTCTCTTCCAGCCTCCATTGCTTTCCCCATCTCTCCTTAGTGACAACATAGAATAGATTCAATATTCTTTGTTGCATTTATATTGTTTTGTTGAATCAAGTAAGTAAAATACTTTCTGCTTCTTTATTTAAAAAAATATTATAAATTATTTTGTTTCGATGACCTGAGGAATACATTTCTCCAAGACAGTGACCCTCCTACTGTGGACAGTATTGTCCACGTGTGCTGTGTGGGCTACTCCAATAAATGATGGGCAGATTGCAAAGCCTTTCTAAGGCTTCATGCTGGATTTTAATTTGACCACCATTAATTAACTTGATTAATATTATTATCATTTATTTTACTATTACGGTGCTTGAGAGACTGAAGGGAAGAGAGTTCGAGAAGTCCTGGGCTCATTTTGGAAGTCTCTGGGTAGTTTCTAGGAGTCCTAGTGGTGTAGTGTGTATATATTGAACGGCTATATAAAAGTTGGCGGTTTGAATCCCCCAGCAGCTCCACAGCAGAAATATAGGCAATCTTCTCCTGTAAAGGTTTACAGTCTTAGAAACAGACAGAGGATCCTTAGGAGTTAGACTTGCCTTGATGACAGTGGGTGTGTTTTATGGTTTGGATTGGGTGATTTCAATGGTTGATATGCTTGACTTGTAACTAAAACGTGTAGTTCAAATTCACCTAGAGGCATTTTGAATGGAAGGCTTAGCAGGCTACTTCAGAAAAATCAATTATGGAAATCCTTGTGGAACACAATTCTGCTCTTACACATGGGCTAGTATAAGTTTGAACTGAATCAGTAGCAACCAGGAGTTCTTTAGGGGAAAAGGGAGGGAGGAAGAAAGTATTCAGGAAGAGAACATGCTGGTAGACGTGAGAGCAGAAAGAAAGCTCTATGTTTGAGGTGTCCTTATGAAGTATCAGTATGACTGAGAATATTCAAGTCACTTCCAATAAATAGAGCCTAGTAACTTATTTGGTAGTGTGTGTTGTGTCTGGATGATGTGGAGAATGAGGAAGAAACATGCTCATATAAATGCCTTATGAATTCACTAACATTTATGCTAAACAATTTATATCAGTGAATATAGTTTTCAAAGATTTTGGTAATGCATCAAATGATATAAGTTGTGGTGTTTTCCTTGACTAAAATGTTATTTAACTTAATGGGTTATTGGTGGATTTTGAGTTGTTTGCATTAAATTAAGCATAAACTAAGTACTCCTTACATGTAAAGTATTGTCAGGAGATTCATATGCAAAACCTTGAAACATTCAAGAGAACTGGGACCTTAATGAGGTGTCTCTCTTACCTGCTGGTCCATTGCCCTCATAATTTCATCCAGAGTTGGGAAAGCAGCTTGGTCGATCTTGGCTATAACACAGGCCATTTTACCAAACAGCTTAATTGCCAGGAGGGCCTTAAAGAAACACAGAAGAAAGAATTAATTCACTCAGTGTATTAATGGACTCTTGCTTTCCTCTCAATGTTGGCACAAAGCTTTCCCTTGACTATGGGATAGAGAAATATACTGTTCTGGGAACCAGAACAAAGTGAACCAGAATCAGGACTGGCACCCACCACAAAGAAACTGTGCTCCTGAGAGTCCTGATGCTTCCCTTGTTCCAGACATGGGAAAGAATCTCCCAGTACTTTCTGTAAAATGCTAGCGGAACTAGACGGTAGAGAGTCAACTATAATAGTGTTATTAACATTCTGATCTAACACTTAGCTTCATGATCCTGGTTCTTAATGTATAAAACAGAAAAAGGAGCCTGTCTGCATGGCTGTCATGAATTTGAGAAGATGAGATAATTTACTGCTTGTGAAAATGTTCTACCAGTTGTAGAGAACTCTCTGACCATAAGAGAGTCGCGACCTCTAGACCCAGATTTAGTCTTGAGTCTGCTACTGACCACCCTCTTCTATGTCTGTCTTTGGAGACCTAGAATCCTTCAGGTCTGGATTGAAGCTGATTGTGTGTTTTCCAGTAGTTTGACTGAGCCTGCACATGCTGATTCACCAGTATTTTTCTCCTCATGCTACAGTTATTCTAACTTCTTTTCTACATTTTAGATATCCAGGAAACATTTTGTTTAAAGAAAAGTCTCCTTTCTAAGAAAAAGAAGCATACTTAAAAAAAAAATCCCTAGACTGCATATCCTGTTGGAGGAAGATCTCCTTGAGGCAATTTTAGGAGAAAGAAGGAGGGAGGAAGAAAGTATTTGGGAAGAGAACATGCTGGTAGAGTTAAGAGCAGAAAGAAAGCTCTATGTTAGAGGTGTCCTTATGAAGTATCAGTATGACTGAGAATATTCAAGTCACTTCCAATAAATAGAGCCTCGATTACAGAGGGCTTTGTAGGCCAGAGTGAAGAATTTGGATGTCTGCTTCATTTAATCATCTCAGAGTATTGTAGGAAAAGCAATTATTGATCCTATTTTACTTATAAGAAAACAAAGGCAACAGCTAACTGAGGGCCCTGAGGCCCTTTCTATCAGATAGCCAAAGCAAAAGCTTGAGCTCACATTCCTTAAACTTGCATCTGTCTGCTAGGTTTTATTATCTAAGCAGGTGGGCAAGCTAAGAATTGTGAAAATTAAATTTTTTTTAAAAAAATAATTTGACTAAAATTTGAGGTCAAAGAAGCTAAATTCTATAGAGCACAATGGTTATACAAAAGGAGGCTTTCTTATTTGGAGGACTTTGATAACTTTGTGAAGGTGCACTTTATAGGAATGCAAAGAAATTTTAGATTCTTTTAGATTAGTTTCTTCCACAGTCTTGAGTAAAAAAAAAAAGAATCAGAAAAACATTCCAATTCAGGAAAGCTAGCTCCTTACCTCAAGACATATATTTCTATAGAAAGTGTATACTTAAAGGAAGAAAATGTAGACAGTGTCATCTCTCTGGAGAAACTTAAACTACCTCTTGGGCCAAACAAGAGTTTAGGTGGTATTGTAATAAGTGTGCTTCACATCTTACATTTTTGTAGTCCATGACTCCATCCCATTCACTCAAAACATTGTTGTCCCGGATGCTGACCATACCTTGGAAGGCATTGACACGGATAATTTGGGTCCCTATTGAACCAACCAGAAGCTGGTTCTGGCTGTCATTGGTACTCTGCAGAAAACCAAGCATCAGTAAGAAAAAACTTTGCCTACAAACCTTGAAAGATTACAGGGTACTCACAATAAATTTGAGAGAAATTACTTTTTTATTATCAAAATTGAAATATTTATGACAAATCAAGACTAGGCCAGATTGAACCCTTTCCACCCTCACTCACCATCAGAGCCAGAGATGGAGTTAGGAGGAAGACCATGATAATGGAAGACACAATCTGAAATGCAAACAAAAAAACTGCATATAACTCTCCTAACCTCAGATGAGCTCAGAGCTTTATTGGGGATTAGAGCTTTCTTAAAATGACCTGCGATTATCATTCGCTTGTGTCCTGCAAACCCTCGTGGGTATCAGGAAGTTATCATTCAGTGTGATTGTGCTGACTACTCAGAAGGCAAATATTTTTAGTTTTCTCATGGATATATCTTTTCTATCAGTGGAATTGTTTGTTCTACAGCTACTTCCAATCTCTGGAATAAATATTATTATCAACTACTTGATCTGCATGTAGAGCCAAATTATTCCATGCAAATTTGTATTAAATTTTTTTTTTAAAGTAGGTTTTAAGCCTTCTCTCAATCTCTGAGGACATCATGTGGAGTCTGATATCTTCTTGCTTTCCTTTCCTCTAAATTGTTTCATAGTGTCTGAGAACAAATGTGCCCACTTATTTACATCTTATTCTGAGATATTTCTTACTCAAGTGTTACTATTTCCTGATATATTTTAAATTAATCAAGAAATTTCTCTCTGTGACTTACCCTGTCTGTTGAAGGAATTATAGGCATCAGAGAATAAAACAAAGCATTGATGAGGCAGGAACAAGTTAAGGCAAGGAGTCTTTACGTATCTTTTATCTCATCCCATATACAGTCTTCTAAAGGCAGACTCAGCTCAAGAGCACAATCAGTATCAGCTAGGCTCAACAATTAACCCCTTGCCTTCTACCTCTGTAACACCTCATGCAATATTCTACATGTTGTGATAAGAATAAAAAATGAGATACAGCTTCAAAGAAAAAGAAAACATTTATCTTATAAATAATAACCACTGTGTAGTAGTAAATTAATCAAGAAAAGACATGAGATACAGAGTATAACAATATTTTAGTAAAGTATTTTGAGAATTGAATCTATATATTAAAAATACTTAAAACTTCACTTATTTGATTTATAAGATAAATCTAAAAAGATAAGATCCTAAAACAAGAATTCCTTCACTAAATAAAAAAAGGATTTTTTTTAGCATTCTAGAAGTTACTGTTAGGCAGACTTTCATGTTCACATCCAAATTAAAAACTGAAAATTCTATTTGTGTTTAACATAAAGTTTCTGTGGGCTGAAGAAAGTTTTCCATGGATATTTTGACACTGAGAACATTTTAAAATTAGAAAATATACTTACAAGGCATTTCATATTGTCTCTCTTTCAGACCCCATGAAACTGCATACATAGTAGATTTTTCTATGTCCTATTTGTTTTCAAAATTTGGTTTATATACTTCTGGATCTTCAACCACACTCATGATAAAGGGCTCTGGGGAAGTTGACTATAATTCAGATAACACTTCAGGGGTAAAAAGACAAGTTTATATAAACATAATTATCATTTCACTTTAGCACTTCTGACTTTGTTCCCTTTACCCTGCTCACTATACTAGTTCCAAAACAAACATTGCAAGTAACAAGTCTTTGTGCGCTGGCATGCCAGTGACCTTAACAACTAAGGTTAGAATTGAAAACAGTAGATCCTGCATAATGGTCCTAAAACAAATCAGTGACTTCAGCATTTCTACTTTACAATTCCAAGAATACTCTTAACTACCAGAAAAGCCTTATGATGCCAAAATAAATGGCACTATAAGATTAGATTAATTAAAAAACAACCTGAGAGCTTTGAAGATGGCAGCAGCAGGGGAAACAACATAAGGAGCTACAGGAGCAACAAGCCGCATAGAAATGGACCACCATGGCCCTCTACAATCCTCAGTTTATCGATAATTACTAGTTCAATATGGGTTGAGGCTCAACATCAAGAAATCAATGAATGAGCCCCATGGCTCCCAGCCCCCCACTGCCGAGCCCACACAGCCACTGAAGCCCCATGGGGCCTCTGCTTCCAGACCACAGGGATACCCTTACCTGGGACGGATGGCAGGTACTGGGTCCCAAGGCTGGTGTGGCAGAGCCTCAACACTGCCATAGAATAGACTTGTTCTGGGATGAATTCTGGGAACCAAGATGGCAGTGGCAGGAGACACGGGTGGTGAGTGGGAGGACTGGTGGGCTGCGTTGAAGCAGATCACCACAGTGTAAATGTGCCAAGTGCCCAAATAGTCAAGCAGTTGACTGCTGGTCATCAGTGTGGAATGGAGCTCAGAGTCAGGAGGATGGGGATTCTCGGTGAACATGGGTGGGTCCTGCTTCCTCCCTCTGCCTGCCCCTGAACCGCCCTGCTATGACTCCATGGGGCCGCTTTGGCCCAGGCTTACGGGTCCCCTAGCCTAGATCGGGTGGTGAGTGCTGGGCTCCATGGCTGGTGTGGCAGAGCCCCCGCATGGCCAGTGAGCTGTGGGCCCCCAGCACATTAGGTGGGAAGGCAGTGGTGATTGAAGCAGTGGCAACACCAAGGAGCCATGGGAGCTGAAGGACTTGATATGAGAAAGCATTTAGCTGTCAGTGAAGATTTCCTTGGACAGGCCAGAGAAGAAGATCAATAAAATGGATTGATAAGGGTTGCTATGAGTTGCCTATGACTCAACGACACTTAACAACAGCAGCATATCTGAGATGGCAAATATTCTCAATAACACCACAACTTTTTTTTTAATTGGGAAAAACATATTGGGGATACAAGGAGGTGAGAGTTGGGGGCAGAAGGGTGAGGATGGGCCAGGATGCAGTTGCAGAGCTGCACAGTTTGGTCGGTGGGGGGAGCAGGTGAAGGAAAT